ATATTTTATGCTTTTGTTTGTTGCTATTTTATTAAATAAACAAGCAATAAAAAATTGATAAAAAAATGTATACAAGGAAAAATACTTTTTTTGCTTTTATTTTTTTATAAAATAAAAAAAATAACAAATAGAATCTATAAATTTAATGGAAAAAAGTTGAAAAAGAAAGACTTTTTACATATATGTATTTTCAAATTTATGTTTATTTTATTAAGCAATAGAAATTATATTAAATATTTTGATATGTATGACAATTTAAATAAATAATTTATGGCGAATAGCAATATAAAGAATAATAAGAGAAAAATAAATACAATTTTTGTTATTAAAAATAAATCAAAAACATTCCTATTTTTTCAAAAAAAAAAAATAAGATCTAAAAATATTTTATTTTTGAAATTCAAAAAAGTATAGGTAATTAAAATAAAATAATATTAAAAAATAATAAAATAAAAAATAAAATTATTGGATATCAAAAAAAAATTTATAATATTTTAAAAATAAATAAAATCAAATATAAAATAAAAGAAAATTTAAAAAAATTAAATAGAAATTGCAAAACGCTAAATAAATAGTGAAAAAGTAACTAAAATAATATTGAAATTTTAAAAATAAGTGTTATTTATTGCTTAATATTTTTTCTAATTTCTACTAAAGAAAAATAAATACAAAATCTTTTTGCTGGATTTTAATAATTTAACGTAAAAATCACTAAAGCAAATAATTAAATTTATTAAATAAATATTAAAAAAAGAAAAATAATTGGCAGTAGAAATTTGTTTATTATTTTTAAATATATTTTTATTATAGAAACGTTAATATAATCTTTTTGCCGAGTATTTATTTCAATGCTTTACATTTTTATTTAAAACAAAAGCTTGTTATAGAAAATTAAATAGTAAAATTAAATAAATATTTAATAAATTTAAAAAATATAAAAATTTAATAACAAATAAAAATTTTAATAAATAAAAAAAATTATTTAAAACTAGCGGAGAGGCATTGAAAACCAAAATATAAAAATAAATATATAAAAACCGTAAAAAAATATCAATAAAAAATACGAATAATTAAGAAAATGAAATGTTAGTAAAAAACTAAATCAAAATAAATAAAATTTAAATGTGAAAACAACTTAATGTTTAATATTTTTAAAAAATATATATATATAATATATATAAATATATAATATATATTAATAATTGTTATTGAAATTTTATAAACAAAAAATTAATAAAAAAATTAAATTTATTATTACTAATTTAAAAAGTAATTACTTACAAGTCAGCGCACAATTTAATATTTTTAAAAAGTAATTATTTAGAAATTGCAAAAAAATTAAAGAACAATACATAATATATGTATATAGGGAAAAAAGACAAAAATGCGCGAGAATGCAAGTAAATGAGATTTCAAAAATAAAATATTATAATGTTTAAAATCTATATATTTTTTTAATAAATTAAAGAGAAAAAGATTATTTTATTTAGGAAAATTTTTAACTCAGTACAAAAAAAAACTTTATTTTTAATAGCTAATTAAAAAAATTAAATAAAAAATTAACAAAATTCAAAAATTTATATATAAAAAACTGACAATTAAAAACAATGCTAATTATTTTTTTAAGAACCACTGATTTGAAACGAGCAAAGAAAAATTAATAAACCAGAAAATAAATAGCGAAAAATTAATTATAAAATATTAAAAAAAGGATGATTTATATAAATATATCTGTACATATTTTATCAATTAAAAGCAAGTACTATATTTAATATTGAAAATTAATGCAGAAAATTATTAAAACATAAGCGAAATAAATAACAATTAAGAAAATATGTATGAATAAAAATAAACATACAAATATATAATTAATAAACTATAATTTGCAAGGAAATGTTAGAAAAATAATTTATTAATTTATTAAAATTAAGGAAATTGGCAAAAAAATTTATATGGAATGTTTTTTTATTAGTAAAAATAAATTTTTATTTCTGCAAAATAGCAAAGAGAAATAACATATGCAATAAATCAGAAAAATAAAAAAATTAAATGAGTGACGATTAAAAAATTATTTTAAATATATTTAATATTTTTTGAACAAAATAGTTTTAAAACCTTTTAAAAATAATTAAAATATATAAAAACTGCGGGCGTAAAATTACTTTTTTTCAGTTGCGCATACATACATACATATACATACATAAGTATACATTTACGAGTACCGTTGCGTTTGTTCGAAGGCAATTCCAAAATGGTTATGCACTGCCATTGTAATAATGGCCGACCGATAAATTTTATTGCCAAACGATAACAAACGTGAAAAATTTGCAAAAATGCTTTAACATATTTTATTTACCATACATATATACTTATGTATATATAAATGTATCACACGCACCTACGATATACATACATATGTATGTATCTATATAAGGATTTTCCCTTCAACGACCTGTTCGCACTCTCACTCATGTGCGTGGTTATATGCATATTATGTTGTTGTTATTTTTTTTCATTTTTGCCTTCAGAAATCACTGCATACACTTAACGTTCGCTGCCTGCGCGACTTCACTTTTCATCCTATCGAACGACCAACCAATTGGCCAATGAATGCATAGAGCGGAGACTCAGCATATGTACGTACGCAGCATTGCGTAGTCGCTCGTGTGTTGTCGTGCATATGTATGTATGTATGTTTACATGTTTAAATGTGTGAATACTCAGAAATTTGTTGACATGCAAATTTATTTTATCGCTTAATTAACGCGTTGAAAGATAATTTGTCATGAAATAAAGTGGAGCCCATTGATTGTGTGTGTGGACGCGTATGTTCATATACACAGTTACATATACACGTACATACATATGGATATCAAAGAATGGGCAATAAATGTAGCAATAAAAGGAGAATTGTAATTATTTAATGACATATTTTGAAGTAATTTTACTTTTTAAATAATTTAAATTGAGTATTTTAAGCATTGTTTGGGCTCTTCAAGTTTCACGATAATTTTTCGATTAATAATTTTCGATAATTTGGATCGAATCCTAAATAGAGCTCCGCTTGAGGCTTCCTTGTTCTTTCCGAAGGTGTAAAAACATATAAATTCCGCACGAGGATATGGTGTACCACAAAAAACTTTTGTATCGGCATACTACCACAGTGAGATATCGGCGCGAATAACAGATCTCTCCGGAACTTTTCGCCAAACGTAGAAGGAGCTCTACTTGAGTCAGCTTTGCATTTTTCGAAGGTATCAGAAGCAAAAGCTTCATTTTGCCAGTGAAAAGTATATCAAGCTTAGCTAGGGAGTCAAATGAGTTCGCCCTAAAGACACCAGCATCGCAATAGAGCAATAGAGAGCAAGTTGGAGAGTGTAGAGCAGAGATGAGAAGAGTACTAACGTTATGAAAAATTAACGTCAACTACAACTCAGCTCTCTGGAGTTGATGAAAATAAGCAAAACAGGAGAAGCAAAAGTGGCAAACTCCCTGCAGAGAAACAAGTCAGCGGGGTCCGGTTCTGTGGACTCATAAATCTTAAGATCTTAGAATGTGTGACTAAGTTAGTGAGGTAACATTATACTCGGTACTGGAAGAATTTAAATCTGGTATATTAAGCAGAGCACTCGTTGCTTTCGGAGAAGCTTCTTGGAAATCCAACTCTATTAAGCTTATCTGGTTAGTAATAATGATCTCTAAAGTATTTTAGAGTTGCCATTAGCTACGAGTATTATGGTATAACAAATTTTAGTAAGGTTATGAGCACTTTGAGACTAGAGCCTCCTTGATTCTTCATACAATGTAGATGCGACCAGTTCGAAAGGTTTCGTTCCAACTTCTTTAAATCTCGCTACCTCACTCATGAGTTCCCCAGCCACGAGCTTGCTCTCACACAACATCGCAATCGATATTTGAACGTCTGCAACAAATCAACGCTCTCCATGAGACCTACAACGAAGCGCACGGAGCTTTAACCTTTGACTGGCTTTTCACTGTTAATTCTTTGCTTTGACAATAAAAATTTGTCAACCAAGAAATTAATTATCCATGAAAAAGAAGCAAGCAACTGAAACAAATACTGGCACTCAGTCTCCTCACTCAGTCTATCAGCTAGTCAACCAGTGAGCCCAGTCAGCCAGACAAACAATCATTCAGCAGCCTAAGCACTTTACGCATGTTTGAAAGTCAATTTTGTTTAACACACAACAACACCAACAGTAACAACTAGCAGATTAAAGACAGTAGAAAAAAAAACATGAAATAAAAACATTAAAAATCAAACATATGGCGCAAGTCCTTAACTTGCCATTACCATTGCATTGCCAAGAGTCGTCCTTAACGAGTTAGACACTTTTTCTCTAAATGCCACGTTTGCATTTCGTTGCGTTTCAACGGCTGGACATTGCTGATGTGTAGGCGTGGCGAGGCTGTGTTGAACTGAGCGAGTGAGTGAGTGTGTATGCCTGAGTGTAGTAAATGAGTAAAAGGATCGAAAGAAAGGTGTTTACCAGTGTCGCTGTCGAAACAAATGGGACACCCACTAAATGGGTTTACATGTGTAAAAGAGCATGTTTGCCGAAAAAAGGGGTAGTGGGCACCCAGTGCGCATATGAGACCGTATATCCATATGTATGATTGTATGCAAGTCTACGCGAGTGGCAACACCCCTATTAGAAGTGTATGTATAGACTTTTTTCTATCTGGTACTTGCCCGTACTTGCTTGACAACTCAATTTATTGGCGTGTACCATGGACGCACTTAATTAACGGTGACAATCAATTTTGTATGCAACTTATGTTCGATTTCATTGCAAGCACTCACGAGCATTTGTTGAAAATGTACGGGAAAAAGTAACATTATTTTAAATTTTTTTTTGCACGCTGGAAAAGCTCTAAAATTTTTATCTTTAAAGTAATTGATTGCAAAATCTTAACGGTATTTTTTTTTTTTAATTATTCCCCAATTGTTTTAATGTTTCTAATCTTATAAGTCTCACCTGCTTTGTCACCGAATCGATGAGTCGCACGAATATGTCCTGCTCCTGACGCGCACCTGTGAGAAAAAAGAAAAAAATATGGCATTAGAAAAAAAAATATAAATATATATTCATATATATATAAAAAAAATTAAAAAAAAAAAATTTAATAACTATCAAATTATTAAAAAATGATAAAAAAATGTTCATTAGCAAATCCTAATTTAACACCACTTAATTCGTACAAAATTATTTTAGTTTAAAAATAAAATTTTGTTAAGCCAAAATATTCAATTAAGCACCCTTGTGAACTTGTGAACACCTATTAATCAGCCTAACAAGCAATGCACAACTATCGATTGTCGATAATAAATACTCTCATTAGGTAACTGGCATCTTCAAACAACGCACGTGTTTTGTTACTTTCTTGTGTAAAAATTCTCAAGATTTGTATTTGTAAACAATATAAGGCATGCAATTTATTTATTATTGTCTTTGAGTGTTGGAAGCAAGTTAGCGTTTTCCGCGAATGGTATTAATTGCAGCGAAAAAGTGAAAATTGTTTGAACTTAAAATCAGCAGTGGGATAGATTAAAAATATGTAGCAGCAGAAAAAGTGTTGTCCGCCTTGATGTTATTCCAACAAATCGCAGCACCTATAGTTTATTATGAGGCACTTTCGTACGGCTGGTGGATATTTTTATGAGGAGTTCTATTATTTGATATCAAAAATATACTCGGAAGGATTGACATTCCCTGCGGGAGGCATCCTTATATTAGTAAAATGAACTTAATCTTTTATATAAATTAAGTTTTATAATGCAATAAATAGTCAGTGTAAAACAAGATCCAAGCTCGATGAAAATTAACTTTTTTTAATAATTCTTAATAAAAAAATTATAAAAGTAAATATATTAAATCGAAGTAAAAAAAAATTGCAAAATATTTTATCAAGTTGTAGAATCTTTCAAATTTCATGCAAAAAAAATCGCCTACTCACCATTCGCATAGAGCAACTGCAGTCGATATTGTATGCCATTATTCGTTTTAGTCGCATCCGATTCTGAATCCTTTTCAATAAAGCCTATAAAAGCTGTACGTTCAATTTCAATCGGTTGACCGGCACGATCATACAACGCAATGACAAAATGAAAGAAATTTGATTTACGCAAATTACTTGGTGGCTGCTTCTCAAAGTGTGCGCGACCAATACCCAAACTGGAAGACAAAAAATTAAATGAAATAGAGTTATTACAAATATTAATACAATATTAAGTAATAGTACAAATTATACATATAAGTATATTTTCGTAGAATAATATAAAAGCGAGGTGTGTCCTTAGCAATTACAATTTCATATCCTTATATTATGCACTAATAACTTGTATTTTTTTTTTGTCATGTTCATCAGCGCTATGTTTGCGCATGTATTGTACATATGTCATTATCAAGTAATCGACATTTACGCATCTAAAACAAGCACAAAGTTTCACGTCATAAATTATGTCAAATTAATTGGTACGGTCTATGTCAAACTAATGACAGGCGACAAGGGCGAGAAAAAGGGGATTAAATGTTTAAGCGGCGCTAAAGAAGCATGTAGTTACATATTCATACATTTATATCAAATATGTACATACATGTTTGATTACAGATATCAAATCAGTACTATGAACTACTCTTTCAGTAAATCGAACAAAATTAAGAAGTTTTAAATATTCATTTTTTTTTGCTTTATTTCTTCTTTTATTAAAAAAATGCTTGTAAAATTTTATTTCTCATTTTTTTAGACTTTTCACAATATCTTTATAAAATAGTAATTTATTATTCAATTTTTATATATTGACACAAAAATCTTAGTCAACGAAACGTATGAACGCCCACTAATAAGCACACAAGTTATCGATTATCGATAAGGCAATGCAAGTAAGCTCTCATTAATAGGCTTTCAACGCACGTGTTTGCCTATTCGTATGTTGAAATAATTAAAAAATTCAATTTTAGAACAATTTAAGAAGAATGTTACAAGTGAAGTGGTAATTGAAGAAGTCAAATGCTCTATTGTGGAGTGTTGAAGGTGCATTAACTATAGAAATTATATAGCAAAAAGTATAAAAATTTGTGTGACATGTGTGCGGACTTATAATCTTCTTTTTTATATACATATATTTGTATGTGTATATATTCAAACGTACACATATTCCGACTCGACTATTTATGTGCGGCATCCGTGTCAAAACAGACATGATAATTGCAATGAGTGGTTGCGCATATGTTAAATGTCAACAACTAGCCGGCTCGGACATGCAAATACACAAGCTATACATACCTACGATTTTATGGATGTATGTATGTATGTATGTATGTATATACAAATTTACTTGTATATGTAAAATATTATATCCACAAGTGAGGCAGTTCCGCAACGCTATTGCAAGTCGACAAAAGTGACCTTATGGGCTTGAAAACGCCTTCATACCACAAGCAACAATAACAACAACAACAGGCTAGCCAGAAAAAAAAACTGAAACACGTTGTACCTACAACTTTTCCATGCCGGAAGGATATCATTTAAGTCACCGATACTCATTTGATTACATACAAAGATATTTTTATGAATATGTATTCAAATACAAAGGTAAAGGTACAATTTTTCGCCAGTGGTGTGTGCATATGTATGAATATGTGTAGGAGTATTCCGCTTCTTTACTCCCTCCTACCCTCCTACTAACATGCCTTGCAAACAATTTAATTTAGAAAATGCCATTTTTATCAGATTTTGTTATTTATTCATGGAAAATTGCACTAACGTAATATTGTTAGTTTATTTTTGCTGCTACTTTTTTTTAGTCAACTACGCTGCGGTTATTATTATTAAATAGTTGCATGACAAAATACGAAATTATAAGTCACTCCTCAAAAGGCAAATATATATGTACGTTTGTGTAAGTGTTATTCGCGTAATATGAGTATTTTGTAATGAAGATTAAATTTTTTTTAACTTTTGACAAAGAATTTAAACGTTTGGCAAATAGGTAAAAGGCAGATAATTTTTATAATGTGAAAGAGGATACAAAAATATGAATTTCCAGAGAAAACTACGTAATATGACAGAATAAAATATAACGAAATAAAATAAAATAAAACTAAACAAAAAAAATAAAATAAAATAAATTAATGTTAAATAATATAAAATATAATTAAACAAAGAAAAAATAATAAAAATAAAGTAAATTGAAATGAAATAAAGTAATAATATTTTAAATTTAATTTAATATAAAAAAAAACCAAATTTAGTTAAATTAAAAATAAATATAAGAAATTCGAAAAAATAAAGTCATATAAAAATAAAACAAATAAATTTAGTCCAAAAAATAATATGTGATAATTAAATAAATTAATTAAAAAAAGTTAAGTGAAATTGTTCGAGTATTAGAAGTGAGTGTTTAAATGGTGTAAATTCTACAATTAAATGATTTTTTTTTTTTTGGACCTGAAATCAGCAGTGGAATAAAGCAAAGAAAGCAAAGCAGCAGCAAAAATGTTTCAGAAAAAAGGATAGAAGGTAAGATAAGTTGATAAGCAGCATATATGTACATACATATATGTAAATCTAATTATAATCATATACAATATATAATTGTCGCTTTGTAACCGCATGAAGTGATTTTTGGCCAAGCTCCTCCTGCTATATGTAATGTGCATCTTAATGTCTTTTTTCCAGCAAACGACAATTAAAAATTAAGTAAAAAAAATAATAAAAACCATAAATAAAAAAATATATTATTAATTTAAAAAAATTTTTGCTGACGCCAAATTAAAGTTTTCATTAATTTATCACTATCCAAATGCACAATATATCTCTTTTGATTTAAAGAACCTTTTTCTTTCTCAAAATTTCTCGAAAAAGATATGCATAGATGTACATAAATTTAGCTCAACACAATTTATGCCTTCACATTACAATAATCCTTGCATATTTTTGCACCAAAGAATTGTGTTACCTCCACCACTTAGTCGTTCTCCTGCATGCCAGAGCAAATAGTATCTTTCAGTCAATAAATTCACCAATGCAATTGCTTCGGTGCAATCGAAAATATTGGTGCAATAAAATGCAGGCACTATGAGTGTAAGAACACACACATACATATGCATGCGCATGCCATATTATTACGGAACACATAAATTCACAGTGTGCCAGTGAAGCCACTTTGTCAGTAAGAATAAATGTAAAATAAAATGCTTGCCGTCTATCGATTTCATATAATACAATAAATCAAATAAAGTTTTACATATTTTTATGATTTACGACTGTGGAAGAGAAGTCATATGTACATACATACATATATATGTAAATAGACATGGAGTTAAGGTCAAAAATTACCGTGAAAATGAGTGTGCAGCAGAAGTCTCTGACTTTCATTGTTGCTACAATAAGCGGCCAATTAAATTAATAGTATTATATTGACCGTGATCAGGGGTTTGAGGAATTGTAACGAACAGACAAATTTAAATTCGTTCAGATAAACTTATGTAATGAAACTGTAAGCCTTTATTTGTTATTTATTTGAATATTAGCGTAAAATTGCATTTATAAAACTATGAAGGCATTACATTTTATAGCTAATCTCTTGAGTGATATAAACCAATATACATATGTGAGCTTTCAAACATTAGAATATTCGTTAGTGGTTATGAAATTGCAGCGAAAAAGTAATTATACGTTTTAAAACATTGTTTTAAATTTTTATGGCAATAATTTTTTATAATTACACGCTAAATAAACTAAATAGAATTTTATAGAATTATATAGAATTTTATTTAAATTGATTAATTAAAATTTAAAAATTCTATTAAATGAAAGAGCAAAGTAAAATGAAATTAAATATGTAACTGAAAATTAAAATAAATTAAATTAAAAAAAAATAAATAAATTAAATTTAATCGAAATAAATAAATAAATAAACTAAATGATTTTTTTTTTATAAATATCTCACCACAATTAAAAAATATCGAATGTAATGTTCATCATCAGAAGTTGCATATCCATCAAACCTGTGAACACCTACAAGTAAGCCTAATAAGCAGCGTACAACTATCGATTATCGATAATAAATAATCTCATTAGTTAACTGACATCTTTGCCCAAAGCACGTGCTTTGTTATTTTCGTGTGACAAACTTCTTAAAATTTACATTTGCTAGCAGTGCAAAGAATCTTTTTAATTTAATATAAGCTTTTAACTTTCTTTAAATATTGTAAACAAGTGAGTGTTTTATTAAAATGTCATAAGTTACTGCATTTAAGTGAATATGTTTCTGCATAAAATCAGCAGTGGAATATAGAATAGAAAACTAGAAGCAATATGAAATAACTTTAACTGTGGGGAGAAAAGAAAATGTAGGCTGCTATGTAGTCTGAAGGCATTTAAATTTAATTCAAATCAAATCTCTTACTCACGATTTCTATAGAGCATATGAAATTAAATAAATAACGGAAATATTTTTTTTAAATATGGAATATTAGAAATTAATTATTTATATAAGGTAAAATAAAAAAATATTAAGCAATAAAAAAAGAATAAAATAGAACGAAAGAAAAACAAAATAAAATAATTTAAATTAAATTAAAACAAAAGAAAAAGAAAATAAAATAAATTAAAAGATAATATACAAAAATGACATAAATTCAAGTCTTACTCCCGATTTCTATAGAGCAAATGAAATTATATAAGTAACCAAAATAATTCTTTTTAAATATGAAATATTAGAAACTAATTATTTATACAAGGTTAAATAAAAAATATTAAACAATAAAAAAAGAATAAAATAGAACGAAAGAAAAATAAAATAAAATAATTTAAATTAAATTAAAATAAAAGAAAAATAAATTAAAATAAAAATTAATATAATAAATGAGATAAAATCAAATAAAACAAAATAGAATAAGGGAATATAAAGTAAAATAAATCATTTATTAAATAAAATAAAATAAAAGATGAGATTTAAATGAAATAAAATAAAATAAAATAAAATAAAATAAAATAAAATAAAATAAAATAAAATAAAATAAAATAAAATAAAATAAAATAAAATAAAACAAAATAAAATACAAATAAATATTCTTTATATGTTCATCTTCAAAGATCTACATACTTAGATATGTACGTACATACAGACATATATCCATCAAACACTAGATTTATAAGTTGAGAAATC